CGAACTACAAAAGGTTATTATGCATGCATTCATTGTGACAAAAATCCGTTGTCACGAGCACTAAGAAATAAGATAGGCTACTTTGGCCACCGTCGTTTCCTTCCAAGGACACACGCTTGGCGAAGAAGCCATGCTTTTGATGGACACCATGAAAACCAGGTTGAGCCAGGAAAATTCAGCACAGATGAGGTCCTCGAGCAGTTAGAGAAGGTGAAAGATGTTAGACCGGGTAAGCATGATACAAGTAAGAAAAGAAAACGTGGAGAGGATGAAGGGCCACTAATTTATAGCCGCAAAGTAAGTCTGTGGAAGCTCCCATATTGGAAAGATTTGTTGCTGCCACATAATCTTGATGTGATGCACGTTGAGAAAAACATATGTGACAACATTTTGGGCACATTGCTCAAAATCGAGGGCAAGACAAAGGACACAGTCAATTCGAGGATAGATTTGCATGATATGAACATAAGACATAACTTGCACTTACAGCAGGATGGCAACTCAGTTCGCATCCCACAAGCTCGCTATGTCTTGAAGAAGGAACAAAGAATTGAGTTTTGTAACTTCCTCAAAGGTGTCAAGTATCCACATGGATATGCAGCCAACCTAGCAAGATGCATAAGTTCAGATGGTTCCAAGGTGCAGGGGCTCAAAACTCATGACTGCCATGTCCTTCTCCTAAGAATTATACCTGCCGGCATAAGAGGATTTGTGGACAAGGATATATACGAAGCAATTGCAGAGCTTGGTAACTTCTTCAGGGAATTGTGTAGTAGAAATCTAAGGATAGATGTCCTCAAACGACTGAAAAAAGACATCCCGCTGATCCTATGCAAACTTGAGAAAATTTTTCCTCCAGCCTTCTTTGACGTGATGGTGCACTTGGCCGTACATCTACCTGATGAGGCACTACTTAGAGGTCCTGTACAATTTGGATGGATGTACCCAATAGAAAGACGACTTGGCACCTTTAAGAATTCCATGCGGAACAGGGCTAGGCCTGAAGGATCAATTACTGAGGCCTATGTAGCAAGTGACACCTTGACATTTTGTTCAAGGTACATGGAGGATGTTGACACTAGATTTAATCGGGACGCCCGTCATGGGGATGGGCCATTGGATGGTAACAGCTCTGTTTTTATGCATGGTGTTAAACTCATAGGATCCACTAGGATACAGTACATGGAGGATGAAATCATGGATAAGCTAGTTTGGTATGTGCTAAATAACTGTGAGGAGGTTCAACCATATTTGGAGTAAGCACCATTTATGTAGGTTTATTTCACATGTATTGTATTAAATATAATATTTTCCTAATTGTTGAGTCATAATTTGCTACAGCATGCATAGAGAAGAGTTGGAGAAAGAAGATGCACATGATGTTGACAGAAGACTTGAAAAAGGATTTGCTAGGTGGTTTAAGACTCATGTAAGTGACACACACTTACAAAAATATCATTTTTTGGTGATGAAATTTCAAATTGGGAATAACATGTGTATTTTTCTTGTATATATATATATATATATATCAGATCTGGAAGCTGAGGAAAGAAAATCCAGGGGTGGTCAGTGAAGCACTATTTGCATTGTCATGTGGTCCTGATCTCCGAGTAAAGAGTTGGATTGTCAACGGAGTCCGGTATAGTACTGTTGACCGTGAGAAATACCTCCAAACGCAGAATAGTGGTGTAATGGTTGATGGTACACATGAAGGGGATAACATTGAATTTTATGGTGTCCTTAGGGAGATTCTTGATTTGCAGTATAACTCTGATCTAGATATCTATCGATCGGTGGTTCTTTTCCGTTGTGATTGGTTCAATCAAGTTGGCAAGACAAGAGGAGTTAGGGATGACGGGCATTTCAAATCCATCAACATCCAATCATTTTGGTACAAGGATGACCCTTTCATTTTAGCAACTCAATCGAAGAAGATATTTTACTTGCAGGACACCTCTTTGGGCAACGAATGGCGAATTGTGCAGAAATTCGAACATAGGAACATGTATAATGTGTCTGAAAAAGATGACCACATTTTTGATGTACACCAAGATGATAATTGTTCTGATACAGAACATGAAGTGCATGAAGGTAATGCTGATGAGGATCTAGACCATTTGTAGGAAGATGGAGAAGTTACTATTATTGAAGCTAATTTAGAAGACCTTAACAACCAAGTAACTTGACTGAAGACAGTAGGGATGATGCAGATAAAGATGACACAATATTGCAGTACTGTAGTGACAGTGGCAATGGGAACGCTGAAGATGACATGCCGGAAGACACCGATGATGATTAAATTATATCTTGAGTTGTGTCATCTATCTGATATGTCATATGTAATTGGGATGAGCTATAAACTCATTTATTTTGTGTTATGTAACTGAGATGTCACAACTGATTTATTCTGTGAACTCATTTGCCATTGCATATCTGAAACACATCGAGATTCTGAGCTAGCAATTTTAAGAACAGAGTTGTTACCAGCAATGATTTGCATTTATTTGATTTCTTTCCCAGGTTCATGGTGCTAACTCATATTCCTAACAATATGTGAAGCAGTTGGGTCAAAAATTTCAGGAGAAGAGAAAATATTTTACTTCTGTTTTTTGGGCAATCCAGTAAGTTTCCTGGTGAAACAGTATGCAAAGTGATGTACATATATATTTGTTCCAAGTGACATACTGCATATCAGTCTAAAACTGTACAGACCATGACATTTCAAGCAGCAAAAACCAATTTCAATCTGTACAAACACAACTTACACTTCAAGCATCTGTTCAAAGCATTACACTTTTTTCTTAATTGTCATATTCAATTGACATAAAAAAATGACACAAATATGGTCTTCACATTTTCAAAATAACACAATAATCAGCCATAAGTTTATTCACATTCACGATCTCAATCTGAATTCACCAAGCTGTACAAAGAAGTATCATTTCTTCTCAAGCTACTGTTGTCGCCCACATCCAGGAAGCAAGCAGCATAAGCACCAGAAGCTTGCTACTCGATCATGGCCAGCACCAGGTCCTCTTCACCAGCAGCGCTGGGAGCATCAGCCTTGGAGATGCGGCACCTGGACCAGCTGCTACTGCGGCGATGCAGTCGGAGTCGGAGACGGGATGCGGCCGCAGGTGTGGTGACGCGGCGGCCGCGCTCCATCGGCAGCAGATGGCGTGGAGGCGGAAGAATGTGTCCGGCGGGAGGCGTGCCAGGACGCGCTCCAGCACGCCGTCGTGGAGGTCCCCAGCCCACGCGTCGGCGGGCTCCTGCGCTTCCTGCTAATTCTCACCGCCATGGAGGAGGAAGCTCTTTTTTTTTGTTACGATTTGGTTTGGTTTGGATCTGAATCCGTTGTTATATGTGTGTTGATTTACGATTGTACCCTCGTTATATGTGAGTTCTACCGATAAGAATGAGGGGTAAGTCGGTCCAAACCACCCGGTCCGTTCTATTAAAACCGGCCGGTCCAACATTTTTCCTACAAACACCGACCGGTTCACCCAGATTAAAGTGAACATAAAATTTTTAAAATTCAATTTTCAATTGGACCTATATACTCCCTCCGTCCCATAAAAAACCAACTTCTGACTATAAATCTGGACGCAACATGTGTCCAGGTTCATAGCCAGAAGTTGATTTTTTTATGGGACGGAGGGAGTATCCATGAATGGTAAACTGAGACGATTTTATCACCTGCCTGGCTCAAATCCTCCGTCGCCGATCATCCTCCAGCTTGGCTTTAGATCCACCGGCGACGCCACCGAGGCTGGAACCAGGTTCTTGCATTCCACGGTGACGATGGTGAATGGCGAGGTGAGCAACCACGAGGATGACATGGAGGTCTCGATGACATGGGAGACGATGACCGCGCCCCTGTGGTAGACGTCCACAGCAGAGACGAGTCCCGGTTAGTAGCACCCTTCCCTATCACTGATCATATCCATCGAGTGCAGTGGCGGCGGCTCCCACACACGGGAAAGGGAAAGCGTCGGCAAATTTCGCGACGTGGATAGGGAGTAGATGGAAAACGCGACATAGAAGAGCCGACACCAATACTATAGGTGTTGGTTTTCTTTTTTTTAAAAAAAAAACCAACACCTTTAATTTGTCATAGGTGCCAATTAATTAAAAAAAGACACCTATAATATATTATAGGTGCTAGTTTCTAAAAATAAATTCAGTCATGCTTAAAGCAGTGTTGTGGAAAACCGTATTCCGTCTGACAACCGTATTCCGATTAATCGGTGAATGCTTCTTAAACTGCTAAATTGTCTGTGTTTTCCAAAAAGTTTTTATAGGAAAGTTGCTTTAAAAAAATAATATTAGGGGGTGTTTAGTTCCCACATTTTTTTTCCAAAAATGTCACATCGAATGTTTAGATACATGCATTGAGTGCTAAATGTAGACAAAATAACCAATTACACAGTTTGCGTGTAAATTGTGAGACCAATATTTTGAGCCTAATTGCGCCATGATTTGACTATGTGGTGCTGCAGTAAACAGTTGCTAATGACGGATGGATTAGGCTTAATAAATTTGTGTCGTAGTTTACGGGCATAATCTATAATTAGTTTTGTTATTAGTTTACGTTTAATACTTTAAATGTGTGTCCGTATACTTTAAAAACTTTACACCCTGGAACTAAACACCCCCTTAATCCAAATTTTCAAGTTATATAATATTGAACGGAGGGAGTATATTTTTAAAGTCAAATTGTTAATCCAGATAGATTAGTATAATTTGAATGTTTTCGATTTATGGATAATGTTAATTACTCATGGATGGAGGATTTTTCGTTCGGCGCCTAAACCTACCGCCAATGACAGCCCCAAAACATTCCATTGCCGCCCATTTGCCCAAATCAGAATGGGAAATGTCACTTTTATCCTCCATCTAACGAAGAGCAAAACAACACCCAGGGGCATTTGTGCAACCACTATATATTTACAAAGCCTCTCACCCACCAAACCCTAATCCCCAAATCCAGCCGCCACACCATCGGGGCGCCACTCTACCAGAGCCGCCGCCGACTACCGCCGCACCGGAGCCTTCCCCCGCAACCCCGTCGACGACGACCGCTGCGCCGGAGCCTTCCCGTGCAAACCGATCGACGACGACCGCTGCACCAGATCCGTCCCCTACTTCCTCGTCGTCGACAGCCGCCGCAACGACGCCTTCCGCTGCAACCCCGTCGACGACGACCGCTGCACTAGATCCTTCCCCCACTACGCCGTCGATGACTTCCGCTGCATCGGAGCCGGTACCCCGTCGACGACTACTGCCGCACCGAAGCCATCTCCCACAACACCGTCGACGCCTACCGCCGCACCGGAGCCGGGTACCCCATCGACAAGGTCCCTGCACCGTCGCCGTACCTAGCCGATGGGAAGACGTCGACGTCCAGTAGCACGAGGTACGCAAAATTATCTTGTTGTCTCAAGCTCAGATGTTTATGTGTACTGTCTCAAGCTATTAGATGTTATACATCATGTGGATTGATTTGCCGTCCAACTTCTATTAAGAATTTTCTGTGTGCAATCCGATTGAGGTCACTATCTACAATAACAGTTGATGCTATTGCTAGTTTGCTACTGCATATGGCATTGTTTCTGTGTTATTCAGGCGCACCTTTAAATTAATCATGCTATGTTGATTCTCAAATAAATTTGTGCCTCAAGTTGCCATAAGCATCTTCCAGAGTGTGGATTTCAGATCAACAATGGAAATTTTATTTAGATTCTGCTTTGTTTGTGTTTATGAATGTACCAATAATTTGAGTTAGTCGTATATATAGATACAGTTTATTAGGTGAAAGAGAATGATATAATGGCTATATCATTTATATGACCAATGTTGTTCACTGTAAAAGTGTTTCCAGAGTTCTCATCAAAATTGTCTTTTAAAATGGAAAAGTGAATCACCCTGTTGTTTTTACTAGATATTGAAGTAAAGTTGTTTTTCACCATTGATCATTAAATCCCCAATGTTGATGAGCATGGTCTCTTTTTTTTTCATCCCAAATGCCTAGATACTTTATTGTTTCTATTTCTGAAAATGCTTATATGCTTAGGAAATGCCATCAAAATGCCATCTAGTATTCTGACCATTAAAATATGTGTATTCATGTAAGAACCTACACAAAACGAATATGAAAGAACGCGGCAAGAGAAAATCTTGCAGAATATAAGAAGGATGGATGAACTTGGCATCAAAGACATAGCTGCCACTATTAAACATATCGAAACACAACATGCATCTTCAAAGACAAAAAACTCAGGCACCAAGAAAAGTCATGGAGAAGGTTCTGATACATCAGAGTTTCTCCCTGAAGATGATGAACAAGGGGTTCAGTGTGATGATGATTTATATTTAGAACCGGAGCAGCCCGTCCCCATAATGATTGAGGTGCTTCTTCTATCTTGGCTGTGGGGGGGGCTAGGATATCTGCAATAATTTTTCCGCATTTAATTTGTGCAGCATTTGATTATTTTTTTAATGATTGTTGCTAATTTATTCACATGCTTACAACTTTTGTGTTTATTATTGTAGTACCCTCGACAAACTAGACGAAAGAAGTGTGCGACGAAGAAGAAACCTACCTTCAAGATGCCACCAGGAGTAAGGATATCAAAGAGAGTGAGGGCGGGTGCTCCAACCGAAATGCCTCCTGGAGTCTCAACAAGGTCAGCGAAAAGGCAACTCATAGCAGCACAAGGTAAAGGTAATGCCATGAAGAACTGCCTCCAGAAACAGAAAACAATGGTGATGAAGATGTGGGCAGTGGACATTTGCTTCAAGATAATGATGTGAACAGGCCCCCGAGCCATGATGCCAACCATGAAGAGCAACCTGCACAGCAAACCAATTCTGATGTTGAAGGCAAGTTAGTTCAACGAAGAGAAATTTATTATTTTTAACTATTTGATGAATGCTAACATTGTAATTGAATACTCTGTAGTACCTATACGAAGAGGCACAAGAAAATCAAGGCCACCAACTGCAGGAATAATGCTTGACAAGATGACCAAAGCTATGGGAAGAATGCCCATTGCTGTTGCCGAAGGGAAGAAAAGGCCAGATGAACCGGTGCAAGCTGCCAAGTTTGCATCAGAGGCTGGTGTTATCATTAGGACTAAAGTTCATGTCTTCCCTCATTGGAAGCAGTACAAGGATGATGAAGGCTATATTAACAACTTCATGGGCAAGTTATCTGTAAGAGCCTATCTATATTCTTTTATATTTCATCTATTATATGACCTAGTGTTACTCCTTAATGATTGCAATTCAAACCATCAGGTCAGGTTGGCCATTAACCAAAAACACCAGCCAACAAGGGATGCTTGTGCTGATGTATTGCAGAAAGGGATACGACAAACACGGTATAATTTGAAGAAGGCCTACTTCAATGGAGTACCTGCTAACGAGATTAGAACTACCTCTCCCATAAGTAGCATGACTGATGAACAGTGGCTGGAACTTGTTGCAAAGTGGTCAAATCCAAAGAATATGGTATGTCATCTCTAATGACATATTTGTTTCATTTTATACTTGCGACTATGTCTAACACATACATCTTTTGTAGCAAATCTCTGAACAGAACAAGCAAAACCGGCTTAATGTTAGGTTCCATCAGGCTACGGGATCTCGCAGCTATGCTGCACACTTGCACGCTTACGTAAGTTCCCATTATCTTTTAGCATTAATTGTAGTTAAGAACCACTTATCTAATGTAATAGATATATAAAATAATTGATCTGCATTTTCTGTACTGAAATAGAAGGAGAAGAACAAGGTTGTAGAGCTTGATGCTGTGGATGCCTTTGAGGACTGCCATACCAGTAGGGAAAAAGGTCTAAGTGATGCTGCCAAAGATGCAATTGTAAGTCACTCTGTATATTCTTACAACATTGAACTCAATTCCTTGTTACCTATGCCAACATATTATTAATTCAGCTCATTTTATATTTACATCCATAGGATAATTTCTGTCCTTAGTGTGCAGAGATATTTGCAGCTAAGATCATTACAGACTTAATGGAATTTATAGACTCTAACAATGTTAGAATACATACCAAACTAAATTTGTAGCTGCTGGAAAAGACAACTTACCATATACAACATAAGTTGAGATTGGGTTAAAATGCCAAATAAGCTACATAAACATTTTTTCATCAATTGATCCTGGTTGCAGTTTGTATTTTTATCAATATCCCGGGTTTGAGGGTGTGATTCATGAAAATTCATTTTTACCTAAGCTGTTGTAGTGGTGTTTGCATGTATTGAGGTTTTGAATCATATGAACATAAGACTGAACATATTTCAGCCTTTACTACTTCAAAACTTATTTCATTGTAACTTGGAAAAGTAAACTTAATTATGAGGGATTATGTACTCCACACTAGTATTTTCTTTCTAAACATTAGTGGTTTCTAGGGAAAATATTTAGGCATCATAGGAGGAATAGAAAATAACCAACGCTAAGTAACATTGCACCCCCTCCAAATTTTATGAAAGTAGTTGAGGGGAAAACCTTGTTCTTTTATAGCTACCAAGGTGTTCCATCAATCAAAAGCTGCCATGAAAGCTAATCAAATATAGTCTAAAGTCAGCCTTCTGATATATGCTAAAACAGTATCCTAGATTCTGTCAAGAAGCATTTGGCCTGCATTGTTGCTAGAGGCTAGATAGAAAATAATTACATTCTACCATAGTTAGAGCTCAAAATGTTTCTGGTCTCTTTCACAGTTAAGAGGGCAATGCAATATTTCTAAATATGGGAATGCTTGGCTTACTCATATAATTTGTTTCTGTTTTGGCTTATGGAAAACAAATTTGGTTAAATTTGCATTCTATACAAGTTTCCTTACCTCTAGTTTGTGCTTCCTGGTAGCTTTCCATCAGTTTTCAGTGACTTTTTGAATGTGTTGTGCAGCTGCCAGTATTTTGAATGTGTTATGCAGCAGCCAGTTTTTCATGTATCTAATTTCATAGCTAATGTTCAATCATTGCTGCAGTCAAGTATGAAAGCTATTATGGAAGAACCTGTACCTGATGGTGAGACACCAAGAACTAGTGCAGAAGTTGTGTCCAAGGTTCTCTCTCGGGACAACTCCAATACCACGTTTCTGAAAAATGCCGGTCTGCAGATGAGCTCCAAGAAATCAGTGACACCGACAGAAGCAGCACTTCAGGAAGAACTTGCAGCTGAAAAGCAAAGTTCAGCCATTCTCCATGCAGAAGTTGTCGAACTAAAAGAACAAGCAAATCTTGCAAATGAAGCACTGGCAAAGACTCAAAAGGAGTTGGCAGAGTTCAAGCAGCAGCAGGAAGAGAACAATTTGCTCCTTCGACGTATCTTGAGCCTTTCCCAGGGTAACTTAAATCTGTCCTAGTCTCCTTTATGATCTTCTGCACTGTGATGAACTCTATCTACTTATATTAGTTGTTTGATGGTTCTGTGAACTTATTGTCATGTGGTGGACTTGATTATGTGAAATGATGTTTGGTGCTATGGTGGACTTAATGTCATCCTATGGCAAACTTTTGTGGACTTAATGTGAACATATGTGTGCTAGGTTCTGTGAACTTTTTTGTAATATGGTGCTATGTGAAGTTGGTATATGTGATATATGTTGATGTTGGGCCTATTTGTAATGTGCTGTGAAGTTCTGATTGTTTGTCCATGTGATGAATCTTGATGTTGGGCCTATTTTCTTATGTGCTGCGAAGTTCTGATTAATTGTTGCTTGAAATGGGTGAATGCTAAAAATTTCCTAGATCTCATAGTGGGATGGGCCACAACAATATGTGAAGTATGTGGCCAAATGGGCTGGGCTAAGAAAAAAAAAATGAGCGGGCCTTCATCCCTACTGTGCTAACGTGTCATCCAAACAAATCAACACGTGGCAACATCAGGTAAAGACGTGTGTCACAAATCAGATATGTACACGTGGCGCTTCAAAATGAGAGCACGTGGTGCCTCCACCTTCGGCAATGTGGCGTTAGCGTACACCACCACGTGGACATATAAAATGTAAACACGTGGCGTTAAATATGACTGCCACGTGGTGTCTCCACCTTTGGCCACGTGGCATCAGCGCGCACCACCACGTGGACATAAGAAATGCCAACACGTGGCGTTAATATGGCTGCCACGTGGCGCCACCACGTTCGACCACGTGGCATCAGCTTGCACCACCACGTGGACATACCAAATGCCAACACGTGGCGTTAAATACGACTACCACTTGGCTCTAGCGTACGGGAGATGATGATCCAGCGTGGCGTACACGTCATCCGCCACATCACAGCCAACATGGACTCCACGTGTGATAGCCACGTGGCATGGACGACGTCTGTCCTAGCCAGCTGGAAAGCAGTTCTATGACGAGCACCTTCGTCATGGATATAAGCATTTCTATGACGAAATCTACTGTTTAGTCATAGAAAAACATATGTGACGCGACTTCTATGACGAATCCCATTTCGTCATAAATTCGTCATAGAAGTTACTTTATGACGATTTGCGCGTCTTCCATGACAAAAGTAGATTGTCATAGATGTGCCTATCTCCACTAGTGTCATATATTCAGTATAACATGAACATAATGTAAAGTAGGTACTCATATACTCGGAAAGTATTTCAATACCAGAAATGTATTTAGAAGAATATTCTAATAAAAGTACAAAGCTTACAAAAGAGGAAAGGAAAGCTACTAGAGCCATACCCGAACTCTTCCGAAGACTTCCGGACTCCTGATTCCTATTCTAATTCTATTCCACTAGCTAGATACTACTAAACTAAATTTGAGAGGAATGAGAGAGCTCTTGCTTGAGGTGTGTGTTGAAGTGAAGAGAGTGAACTCCTTAAATAGGTAGGTAATGACGGTTATGGCGATTGGAAAGGTCAGTAATACCCTCCAACTGCCATTGGGAGTGAATCTCCACCGTTCCCTCAAAACCCTGCATCCATCGGTTTCATGGGAGGTTCGGCTGAACCTGGGGCCGGCCCAACCAGCCCACATTTTGGCTGGTGGCCCCCTCTACTGCTTCACTTCGTAGACTTGTGAATTTTGGCCTGATTCATCGTGTCAAGTCTGCGTTCTTGGCCCATTCATACACAAGTCTGGTTCTCGATATCGTCCGATTGATCTATCGTCTGAGTTGATGTCAATTTTCCTTCACTTTATTGTCATTCTCTGCAAAAGGTTAGTAGACCTAATACTAGTGGAATATTATTATTCTAACATATTTATGCATTGCAAGCATCACTAATTCTCTCCTGTTTTAGTAACATTGATGGTCGAAACTGATCGATAACGACCGTCAACAGTGGGAGAATCGCTACACCGCTAGTCGAGAACCGGGTGTAGCCTTAACTCGACCATTTGAAGTGGAAATAGTGGGAGAATCGCTACACCGCTGGTCGAGAACCAGGTCTAGCCTTAACTCGACCACTTGAAGTAAATGTACGAGAGATTGCTATGATTGACTGGTTGAGAACCAGTGAGTAGGTGTCTCTCGACCATTTGTAGTCGTGGTACGAGGACCGCTACGCTGCCGGTCGAAGACTAGTCATAGCTGTCCCTCAACCATCCGAAGTCATCTGAAGTCATGGTGCGAGGGTCGCTACGCTATTGCCGTAGTCGTACGTCGACCATTTGAGGTCGTGGTGCAAGGACCGCTACGCTATTGCTGTAGTCGTACCTCGACCACTGGAAGTTAAGGCGTGAGAGATCGCTACGTCCTACTGGTTCAAGAACAAGAAGTAGGAGTCTCTCAATCACCTGTAGGGGCGCTAAAGTTGGTTTATTACATGTGCATCTCATGTGGCCAGCATGACTCACATACCTAACTTATAGCGTATCCAGATGTCCGTTCACAATCATATCGGGTGATCAAGCCGATAACGTTCACGAGGAATTATCCGTTAACAACCTTTTCTCGAATAGCGCAGCTATGGCCGGTGCTATGAGATAGGTTGTCGGTCTTCGTTGGTAGGTATGGCACGACGACTCTGCATTTGTCGAGATCGTTCTGGATAATGGGGTGTACTCGACCACAACCTACTCGAGTGCTCAATTGTTCCTGAAAAATATTTTCTAGAAGGCAAGATATATAGCAGAGAATATCGAGTATGTACTCAAAAAACTGCATGGATCTTCTAGTATTATTAGGATATAACGAGCAGATTAAATATCATGGATTATGTAAACCGTAAACAAGCATGATTTATACAGAAGAAAATAGTGCGAGCCCCCAGTGTTAGACTATAGTTGGCCTAACATCGGAAACGCTCACACAATAGATATTGTATAAAAAACATGCTCTAGGTAAACATAATAATTATTGATCTGACAATATTGTATGATCTGAAAAGTAGGTACCATAAATTGCATATATAATAATGCGTACCTTTGTAGATACATGCTGGATGTATCTACGATATTAGTAGATTAATTTAAAAAACCAATCTACCAATTACCTTGTTGCGTACTCGTTTGACATCATACGGTCTGACATCTTTTGGTACGCCGTGTATCTAGAGGCTTGGTCGATCTCGAGAGATCGAACTGTTGATGACGATGGTTCTGACCTTGTCGGGGCACGTACTCTGGCTAGGTTAGACTTCTCAGATCCAAAGTAGTTGAAGTATCCCTCGTCAAAAAATCCACAATGACGATGACTTGGCAAAACTTGACGATGATCCCGATCCGCCGGAGAACGTACTTCGTTCGGGTCATATCACCCAACATACGAAGTCGTTGAGTAGTTTGCTGTTGAAGAATCCATCTCTTGAACCCATCTCGTCAAAATCCTGAAGCACCAAAATCCCCTACCTGGCGTGCCACTGGCGACGTTTGATGTCGCGATTCCGGTATTTGCATAGTATAGGGATCGTTGGTACTAGGATATATGCGAGATTGTAGTAAAAAAGATGGAGACGAGGATTTTTATACAGGTTCGGACCCCTGAATTGTCAGCTAATAACCCTACTCCTGTTGGCCGAAGCCGGTTGTTGCTCTTATTTACCATAATCACACCAGTACAATATTTGGGGTAGCCTATCTATCTGTTGTCGACATGGCAGTCTGAAGTGCTGTTACGTAGTCGACAACAAAGTAGTCTTCCTCCTCGAATCCACGTCCAGCGAGATCAGAGATAGCGTTAGATCCCTCTTGACGGTAGTCGTAGGTACCGTATGGGGACTACTAGGCTTATCTCTGATGTTGATATCCGGCGGCTTGTCTTGGCTTATGTTGGCTTGTATATTGATCTATTGTTTCGTGTCCCCTCTCCTCCTAGGGGGCATTGTATTTATACCCATAGGTGTCTCCTTGTCCAAATAGAACTAGTGAAACCAATATGCATACAATCCGAGTAGTACTTGTCGTTTCCATGTAGAGCTCTAGTTGTCTTTCCTTATCCGGAACTCCTCCTATATTCGAAGGTTGTTTCCGTATAAGACATGGTATGTGGTGGGTCTTGCCGAGATTTAGTCAACTACTATCAGGTATGTGGTATCCATAACCCTAACTGATACCTTTCAGCAACCATAAAATTTATCAAGATATAATATAAAAGGATTAAAAGCATGCATAAAAAAACATTTGCGTCGGTGGAGACAATTATACCAACATAAATATTACTGATGGTAGTTGTTCTAATTGCTACGCCTTCATGATTTTGGGCATGACCTAGAGATATCACACATCGCACATCACCATGTGCCATGAGCCGGCAGTGATGAATGATAATTTATATTACCGCAGGTTCACCGACATTCTTGGACCAATTTTTACTCGAGAAGTTTATTCTTCGTGCACCAATAAAAAGACAGTTGGGTAGCACATCAAGAACTAAGCTAATCAATCAAAGAGGGTGAATGGTTGATCTACCAAAAACCGATAACTGTTAGCAGAACTAAAAGTTACCCTCGTAGCTGATGGAACTCGGTTTGAGCAGAGTTGATGCATCAGTCTGACCGCGTGATCACACCATCATTGTCTCTAGCCGCCACCGGTCCAACCGCAGTTGCTCGGCCGGTCTAACCATCGCAATGTAATCGGTCTGACAGCCGGTAGCCCGCTGGTGTAACCACCCACACCTGATCAAAAACACAAATCGAAGACTCATGAAAGGAGATTAAATTATATTGCCTATGTTCGTGTTTACAAAGTGTAACAACAACACTTCTCTCAGAAATCTTGACTCAACTCGAAACCTAACTTTTCTCTAAACTTAATTTTTACCAAATCGATATCTAGAGGCCTCAACACATCTACTATTTATAACCATAGATAGGTAATCTAAAACCACTAATCCAACTTGTACAAGAGGTCCTAAACACCTAGGAAACGTTCCTGTACAAGACACAAACTTGTCACATGAAATATTCTCCAACCACGTGCATTGTTGTTTAGTGTAAAAATCCCACATGATATCCAGATTGTTCAAACGACATCTTCTCCCAAACTAACTCCCGATCAATTACCGGCAATACTCTCTCGAGACATCAAGATACACCTACATATGAATCAAACAAGAAATCATATCTGAGCACAAGTTATTTTCCCAACTAGACTCAACAATAGCACACAGCGGTACTACATTTGTATAGAAATTAATCATCTAGAAGTTATAAACATGAATTAATTATGAGTATAAAAAAACAATCCAAAACAGAAAATGACATCGAGCCGACTGGTCAGACCGTCGGGCTGACTGCACACACGCCGGTCTGACCTACCAAACATGCCCGGTCTGACCGGGTCCACACAAGGAGCACCACTACACAAAGTATCAAAACCAATAATCTATCAAACCAATTGTTCATCACAAAATAATAATCAAACACACATTAATCTATCTATCTATTATATACCAAAAGTCCATTAAACTTCCTACAAACACTCCTAAGCCGCCACATGGCAATTTACAAATGCTCCTAGGTCACCACATGGCACAAGAAAATCTGAGAAATTATGAGAAAAAAGCTAAATATCTGACCTTTGATTTTTATTAAAATTAGTGGACCCAACATTCCAAAACGTTAGATTAGATTTATTTTCTCTTATTTTTTTAAAAAAAAATTGTTCGGATATGTATGGGCCACCATCTAATCCACCTGTACGTTTCTCTCCGAATTAGTTGTGCACGTTAAGTTGTACAAAAGTAGTTTAATGTGTCAATCTGAAAAAAACGTAGAAGGGCAACTCTCCATACTTGACGATTTATAGCAATACAAGGATTATGGGAGTCTTCCTCCAACCTCTCCAACTATGATAAATGGTATTTTCTCCTCTCAAAGTTCGCAACGACTCTACTTTAAAAGGGCCAACTTTAAACCAAATACAACTCAATAATTCTAAATTTCGAAATCATTTAATCATGAAAATTCTATAATTAAGAAACCAAACAGAGGACAATTATATATTCATTAATCATGAAATTTAGAACAATTAAACCATGATAAACTATAATTGAGGTTTTCAACCGAGTACAACCCATGCAAACGCTCCTAAGCTACCACGTGACGCTTCTATAAACGCTTCTAAGCTGCCACATGACCCTCTAATAAATGAGAGAAATTCATACAAAATTATGATTGAAAAAGAAAAATATCTAACCTTTTAATTTCATTTAAAAAGGACCAGATAATATTAACCATCTATATATTATATACTAAAAGTCCATTAAACTTTCTATAAACGCTCTAAAGCCAACACGTGGCACTGAGTAAATCTTAAAAATTCTGAGAAAAAAGCAAAACATCCAATCATCGGTTTCCACTCAAATTGGTAGTTCCATTATTTTTAAACATTAGATTAGATTTAGCTTTTAAAAAAACCCCCTCCCATGCGCATGTGCCCGCTCTGCTCCCCACCTGTTTCAACGTTTCAACTTCTCGAGCTCTCTCCCATCTTTCCTCTTCCTAATTAGTCAGTCTAAAAAAACCTCTCTTACTCAGCGATGAAGTTTCAAAAAAAAAAATCTGCAGGTGGTGGAAAAATGTGGTCATCAAGCGGTAGATGATAAGACGATTAACAATTTGTTATATGTCTTATCTCCATGATACTATCATCAAACTTCGTTTCATTTTCTACAATCAAATCAATCGAAACTAATTGAAATCTATCTTCTGGTCAACACTACTAGAAAAAGCATTTTCACAGCCGGGGGAAATGAGTCTTCCCGGACGCTCCACTTGCACCCAAACGACTGCGAAGATCGGCGGCGGGACGCCTGCCTGGGAAGATTTTTTTCCCAGGCGAAGTGGAGCTAAACGGGCTGCCTAGGAAAATATGCAACGTCCGCCTGCAAAAATTAGAATTCGCTGCCTGCGAAAAGAGGTACAAAAATTTAAAAATTGTTACAATAATTATTTGTGATAAATTATTTTCTAATTAATTAATTAATTGATGCATAAATAATATTATTAACTAAAAAACATTTTGATACTGACAAATCTACATAAGTTGCATAAGTGAAAAGCGTTGTCGAAATGTTACAATATTTTTTACATTGTCACTTCAAATACGGTATCTAATTACATTATGGCATCGCGTTATTACATTCCGAAGATTCTTGTATTTTTTGCTTGTAGCCAGGACGCCCTCCGGGTCGAAGAACCGTCTTTTGATATGAGAGTACTCATGATGGATGAAATGGCACAGATGTGCTTTGGTAATTAGCGCAACCTGGTAAAGGATTCCAGTAGAAAACTTTTGCCGTGTTGCTCCAGTGACGAGGAAAGAAGGTTTTGCTCTCCAGCTGCACATTAAAATCATAAATTTCTAAGAATAAACAAATCATCTAGCAGTCGATTTTCATGTGATCCATTGTTTTCTATCATTAAATTTAGTTATTCAAATAGAAAAGAATACGTGTGATAAATTTTCATGTGACCCATTGCATATCCCACCCCTCCCGTACATACGTGTGATGTACATCCCCACATATTTCCTTTCTCTCATATATTTCTCTTTTAGTTAGATGGAAAAAGAACTAAATGATTTATCCAAATACAAAAGGATAAAAAAAAGGGCCACCATATTCTACCCCCTCACTTACCTTCCCACATATTTCCTTTCTCTCCTATTTTCCTCTTTTAGTTAGATGGAAAAAATATTTTATGATAACAAATTTTAAACAACTATATTATCTAAATCATATAGCTATTTTTTTTTCACACCATTAGATTATTTATTATAAAATTTAAAATTGAAGATCCAAATTAACTATATTATTAAAAAATTCATTACTTTGGGTCATATATATATTTTACGGACTAACAATTGTTCACTGATCCATATATGTTTATGAAAAAATCAAATAGATTTTTAAACCTTCTGATTAATAATACACACAAAAATTAGAACAAATTAAGTAGTTTAATTATAAAATACAAAACCCAAAGTATTTTATATTAGATCTACAATTAGATGTATTTATATAAATAGATAACTCAAAACTATAGGACCCATTCTATATATCTTAAAAACAATAATCTCTTCCCATCATCCTGCCTTACTTATACCACTGATCCTCCCCCTCTGGCTCTTACACCCTCTCCTCTCCAATTCAATTATCTTCTCTTCTAATTTTCTAACTAACATAATATTAAAACAGTCATAGCTATTGTTTTATTTATAATTAAACAGACATTAGCTATATTTTGCTATATAAAAGTTAAAATACATCATTTGAAGGTAGACCCTATCGTTTGCATGGACACTAAATAAAAAGAAAATTAATTGAAAATATGTATTGTATTATACTAAATCATTGCACATAACAAAAATCAATTAAACGTTCTTCACCAACTACATAGTTAAAACAACCATAAGCTATGGAATACTCCTATGTCTTTTAAACCAGTGAAACCATTATTACTATCCATTTGATCTATCATATATATAAAAAAACAATCGTATATTCATGGTACATCACATTTAAAAAATATTATCGCGCAATTATATTTCGTTGTTATCATATTCATGTTAGACTGCCATCTCACTCTACATGAATTGGTCATAGATGGATCATCTCTCAAACTGCATAAATCATATTAGGCTTTATAAACACATACAATTACTAGAGCTTCATGTCCCACCCAATTCATCCTTTAGTAAACTATGATAATATATATGCAATTAAAAAAAAGAAAAGCAACTTACTTTTACTTTACACTTATTTGTACTTACGCTGACATGTTTTCTAAAGAAAGTAAGTCTACCTTCTTTTCAAATGATAAAGAAGATTATAAGTAACTACTTATAGATATTACTTAAATATGATATAACATAATAAAGCTAATAGATTATAAAATTATAAAGGCAATTAATGCCACGAAAATAGTTTATAGAGAAATTGCGGGAGATGTTCTCCGGTTAATATTTCACTTTTTATAAGTATCTCAAACTTAGCGCACGACACATGCCCACGTGAATGCGCGGGCTACCTTCCTAGTTTTAAAAAAAATCTGGATAAATCAAAATAGATTGCATGTATTTGCATTGCTCGTGCTCAACTACTATAGCAATACCATTATTAATTTCAGTAGAAGCGGTGCGTTCCTACAAAACCAGACGCATATGGCATAACATTGTTCTGCTTGCTCACAACACACGCTAGCTCTCTATACCTCCTCAATGAAAATGTGGGCTTGAGTAATTCAATTTAGTCTGTCGTGGTTGTGCGTTCTCTGGTGCAAGTTAGAGAAAAGCCATAGGAATGGGAAGCTGCAGGATTCCAGTGGATGGGCTACCCATTGTAACTCGTAGGTTGCTTCCGTGATCAATTGCTTGGAGGACATTTGGTTCCTTGGTGATCGCTGGCAGCTGCTTCTTGGAATGTTATGTCCAAACAAGAAAGCCCGCTGATAGAATTAATCAATGGCTGGAAACTGCAAGGTCACACTCCTGTGCTGTAGTGCTTTTCTGTCTTGGAGAAATCTTGGCGTCTTCTCGCGCATAAAAAAAAAAGAAAAAAAAAAGAAAAAGGTCAATCGTGGTGTACGATGAATATGCAACTGTGCAGGCCGGTATGACCAAAAATCAAATAAAAAAATATTGTATTTTGCTTCTTGTTAATTGTTTGAGCTTCCCAGTACACATAGGCATAACTTATAGGGGGGTGCTAATGGGCGATCGATCGCCAGGACCATCGCCCAGCGATCGCATCCCCCGCCTCCCCCCCTATACGCAGTCCTCCCACTTCTTCCCTTCCTCCTCCCCTTCTTCTCTTCCTACTACAGTAAACCACAAAAAAATTTTAAAAAATCAAATAGTTAGAAAACTTTATGTATAGAAATACTATATATAAAAAATTTGAATTCAAATTAAAATTTAAATTCGAATTCAAATTTGAATTCAAATTTAAATTTGAATTCAATTTGAATTTGAATTTTCAAATTCAAATTTGAATTTGAATTCAAATTCAAATTTGAATCGGGTATGTAAACTTTTGACTTATAAACTTTGGATCTATAAACTTTAGATGTATATAGAAAATATTTGAATTCAAATTCAAATTTGAATCGGGTATATAAACTTTAGTTCTATAAACTTTGGATCTATAAACTTTAGATGTATATAGAAAATATTTGAATTCAAATTCAAATTTGAATCGGATATAATTCAAATTTAAATTTGAATCGGGTATATAAACTTTAGTTCTATAAACTTTAGGTCTATATACTTTACTTTAGGTGTATAAACTTTTGATGTATAGAAATACTATATATGAAAAATATTTGAATTCAAATTCAAATTTGAATCGAATATTTGAATTCAAATTCAAATTTGAATCGGATATAATTCAAATTCAAATTTGAATCGGGTATATAAACTTTTGACTTATAAACTTTAGTTCTATAAACTTTAGGTGTATAAACTTTAGATGTATAGAAATATTATATATAAAAAAATATTTGAATTCAAATTTAAATTTGAATCGGATATATAAACTTTTGGTCTCTAAACTTAAAATGTGTAAACTTGAGGTGTATAAACTTTAGGTACATAAATTTACTAAAATAGGAAAGTAATGTGGTGCCAAAAAAGAAAATAGGTGGAGGGAGGGGGGAGGTGGGGAGCGAATCTGATCGCTACCCCCTCCCCAGGGCGAGCAATCGCCAAAAAGCATTTCCGTAACTTATAGCTAGCTATCTCCAAATATGACCCTGTAACACTATTTTCTTGTTCAGCAACTCGACCCCTCCATTATTTTCTACTTTCGTGCTTTTTGACGGTTTAAAAAATCATTAAGAATCCTTAGTACTAAATTACATCACACTAGAAATATGAACTTTCCATTATTTAGATACGTTTTCCTCAGGTTCAGATTATATGCCATTTTCGTCAAGTGCTCATTTTTGGGATTTTTTTTCTTTTTATGCAGCGATTTGACAAATATAAGGAGTTCACCTAGTCCAACGTATTATGTTATTACTATGAGAACATCTGCGTAGCATCTCAGCAAATATTTACATATACTAGTTTGCTGTCCATGCGTCGAAACAGGAGACTTAACTGAAGATTGATCTATTTGATCATATTTTGCGGGTTGATGCGTATGTACATACGCCATCTAGATATGCACTAGCAGATCAATGACATCTTTGTCAGTGGCGGACACAGGATTTCAACGATGGGGGTACGAAGTTATAGTCTACGGACTATGTACATAGTACCAAGAAACTAGTTCAACATTAAAAATAAACTCAAACCACTAATGGTCATTCAATCCAAGCACAAGCATGCATATATTAAGACAAAGTATATTTCAATACCATACATAACTTACAATAAATGTTTTATAGTGAACAATGAATAAAAAAATAGTACAGAAGTCAGAAGACACAACTAACCATTGCGTATGGCTGCACCACCATAAAGATTGGATCCAATACAGAGGAAGAAAATGCCATTGAATGATACCCATCAGCAACATATATTATATAAGATAGTGTGCTACATAAAGAAAATATAAATGTAGTTATTCACAGTTGCAAAAAATAATTCAAGTATAGAGCCAATATTTCCAAGTTCAAGATACTTACATCCTGTCCATGTTCTGAAAAATCAACACAAGTTGTTACAACTTGACTCTACGAGCCTTTATTGACAGGAAATGACGTATTATGTCTTCATCAGGAACTTGTTGAAAACAATCTCATTCAAGAAATGTTACCAATCAATCATTCAAGTATTCATCTCCTATTCTATTTCTTTGCTTGTTCTTGACATAATTCATTGTGGAGAATACATTTTCAACACTTGCAGTTGCTACAGGAAGGACTAGCACCAATTTCAGTAGCTTGTAGACAAGTGTGTAATTGATATGCTTATTTGTATCAACAAGCTTGACCGAAAGTTCAGCAATGGTGTTCACTTCTCTAAACCTTTCATCTCTACGCATATCAATAATAAAACGATCAAGCTGAATAGGTAGGTGCATGATGTCATTGGCTGAGAAGTCATTGGGATAGAATTGTGCAAGTTTAACCAACATTTCCTTGTCAAAAGAACCAAATGAATTAGTGGGATTGAATGAAGCCACGCAAACAAGTAAATCTGTGTTCACCTCATCAAATCTGTCATTTAGTTCTCTAAGTTGTCTATCAATAACACTCAAAAACATTTCAATTTTAAAGCGGTGAAGATTCTGCACTTTACCAAAGAAGCTTGGTGATCTTCCAACCGGCTTGTACCTAGCATCCATCTGAGGAACTTTGACTTCGTTCTTCATAAAAAAGAGGTGACTTTTTTTAAAAAATTCTCCCACCCATCATCTTGCCGCAACATCTCCAATTGCATCTTTGTCAAAACAATGAGCTCAACCGCATTCACAATATCTTGCGCCCTCCTTTGCAAAGCTGTGTTTAAGTCATCTGTGTATCCAAGAATAGTGTTCAACAAGTGTGCCATGAAAACAATCTCAAATGACACAAATGATTGTAATGCAGTTTGAGCTTTTATAGCTTCCGTGCTTTGTGAACGATCTTTTCCAACTTGTAGTAGAACCTTCCGGATTGAGCGATACATAATAAGAATATGTTGCACTGTTTTGTAGTGAGATCCCCAACGTGTATCTCCTGGCCTACCCAAACCCATCTCTTGATTCAGACCCTGCCCACTTTCAATTTCACCCAATTCCAAAGCTTCTACAATCTCTTGAGCTTGAGCAACTCAAAGCATTTGATGTTTCTTACAAGAAATCCCAATAGTATTCAACAAATACCCAAGTTACTCAAAAAACCAAACACAATCACCATTCTCCCTAGCAACGGCCACAAGAGTTAATTGTAGTTGATGTGCAAAACAATGAACATAATAAGCAGAAGGAGATTCATTCATAATCAGCTTCTTTAGACCATTAACCTCACCCTTCATGTTACTAGCCCCATCATATCCTTGACCACGAACTTTAGACAAGCTCAATGATTGTTGCATTAGTAAATTCTTGATAGCATCTCTAAGTATCAAAGCTGTAGTATTCTCAACATGCACAATACCAAGAAAGCGCTCAACCACCCTCCCTTTCTTGTCAACATAACGCAAGCAAAGTGCCAACTGCTCATTTTGATACACATCGCTAGACTCATCAGCAAGAATTGAAAAAAAACTCATCCCCAAGATCTTCCATGAGAAGTTTAGTAGTCTCTGTAGCACAACATCTAATAAGCTGTTTTTGTATCCTAGGGGATGTCATTTTACAATTCTTTGGAGCATTCTTTAGAACAACCTCGTTGACCTCTTTGAAATTTCTAGCCAACCAATTTAGAAGCTCAAGAAAATTTTCTCTATTGAGTGATTCTTTACTTTCATTATGCCCACGACAAGCCAACCATTGCCGTAAAAGAAATCTCAGGCACTTAAGTGAGTAAGTTAAGCGGGCCATATAAACAACCTTATCATGTTTGCTTCTCTTCCTTAAATTCTCACCAATTGCTGTATTAGGTCTAATGAACATATCATATTTCTATTGAGCTAGATTAAGTGCACTACTAACAGCCACGTGGCTCCCTCAAAACGCTCTCATGTTGCCACGTGGCACAACGAGAGAAGTTGAGGACTTCCTATGGCCCGCGCGTGCAATACATGGATTTATCGTGAAACTTGAACCAACGAAGATTATAGTTCCATAATTGACAAAAAAGATTAGTTCCATAAATATATGTATGCAAGGAAAGATTTGAAATCAATCTCAAAGCAAATTTTAGGCATGTGCAGCCCATATATTTTTTGTGAACCAGCAGAAATTAATTCCATAATTGTGTACGTCAGGCAAAAATTCAAATCTATCTCAAAGCAAAATTTAAATAACATATCCAGTAAACAAAAATTAAATTGCATATGGCAAGATTAGTTTCATGATGGTTCCATTGTCTAAAGCCCTCATTCACAAAACTATCCCCACCAACATAATTAGTTCTATCTTTGAACAAGTAGCAAACAAAACAGAATGCAGCATCCTTTTCCTCACTATATTCAAGCCAACTATACTTATCAAACAAGCTATGTATGAAACGACGTTTACCTCCACAATTTCTTTGAGGAAATTGCTCTAGTGGTGGTCGACAAGGCCCAAGTGCAATATACTTCATCCTCACTTCATCTTGCTGATACACACTATAATCTGAGATGGCAATCCTCTTTCCAGGATCATGTGGAAGAAAACCAACATCCTCATCAACATCTTCTAGCCAATCATCTTCCTCTTCAGATTCTGAATTTGCAACATGAGGTTTAGATACTTCTATGCTGCCATCTACATCTTGAGGTCTTGATACTTCTATACTTTCATAGGGCACTTGAGTTTCTGTTTGTGCAAATCCAACTTCACATGCTCTACTACACCCAATCTCTTTAGTTGCAGGTGCATGTATAGTAGCAGGTTCAGGGTCTTTCCTCCTAGCTGAATGCTCAGAAATATTATTGCTATCAACTATAGACTTCAGTTTCTTTTCAGCTCTACCCCACATTGATTTCAAATCCACAAATTTCTTCTTCTTTGAAGGCTCTACAACCTAAATCACAAAATTATGTGTGTAACAAATCAATCAATCGCTCAATTCTTAATTTTTCCCAATCAATTGGAGGACAAGATTAAAATACAAACTACAAAGACACTAATTTACTGACCTTCTTTTCCATGGTTGTCGGCGTCGGCCTCGGCCTCTGTTCTTCTCCTTCCTCAGCATTCTCCTGCTGCTCTTGCTCCCTCGGATGTGGCACCAGCGGCAGCAAGAGAGGCGCCGGCAACAAGGGCGCCATAGCCGGGTTAGGGTTGGGCGTGAGAGAAGGGGCGAGAGGAGGAGCCGGATCAGAGGGGCCGTCCCACCTCGGAGGTGGAGCATCGCAGGAGCTCCGCGGTAGCGCTGGCGCGGCACGCCGGGGCCCTGTTCCCTGCCCGCGGCGAGTTGCTCGGCCACCGCCACCGCTCCTCATGGCCCTCAGCTCGAACTCGCGCTTTCTTTTTCTTTTTTTTAGAAGCGATACGCCGTGTGGGTGGTGCCGAGGCAGAGAGGGAGGGGATACTGGGATAGGGTTTCTTTGTGGGCTATTGGGCCACCAATTAAGATTGCTCCTACTGGTATTTTGGCCCAAGTATTGTATATATATTATATATAATTTTTTTTACCAAAAAATTTGGGGGTACAACTGTACCCCCATGTCGCACCATGTGTCCGCCCCTGATCTTTGTAATAAAAACGTATTTTAAGACTATATGAAAAATTCCGCCTTGTACTTTTTCATGTGGACCAAACAATATTATTGTAGGATGATAACTGGCCAATGAGGCGAGAGGCTCCCCCAATTATATATTAGGTCTCTAGTCCTTCTACAACCAATATGGAACCATTCAACAATCTCCCCTTCACACACATTAGTGTCCCTCAGCCCTTCACCGTTTCCCCACGGTCCCTAAGGTATACGGGGCTTGCAGGCACCCACGGTCCATCAGGCCTTTACACACTATGTCTCTCGGGCCAGAGATGTTGAACTAGTTAGGCTCTAATAACAATTGTAGGATCGTAAAGGGCCTTCCCCACCCTAAAAAGCTAGCTAATGAGGTGAGGGGCTCCCACAATTATTTATTAGGTCGCTTACCCTTACACAACCAATGTGGGACTATTCAACAACTATGTACCATGTACCAGTTCAAACTCGTTGATAAAACCATGAAACAGCAAAAACACAACTTAACATCCAATCAAAACAGAAGAATTCATGAAACAGATTAAATCTCAACACCACGAAGTTAGAATCTTTAGGCATCCCAAGCGCCTTGCTCTAACGCGTCTGCCAACTCCTAATCGTCTGTAAAGCGTCCAAGCATGTGTCTGAAGGAGATGCGCTCAATGTCCACCAACACGAACCATACCAAGGATTAAGCTAATAAGCATTAAATTTGTACCAAGCTAGAAAAAAAATACAAATGTAGTAAATGAGCCATATGAACACCAGGTTGCTATTTCACCATAAAACAAAAGTAATTGCCCCAGGTTTAGCTTATATTTGCATATACAATTGTTAACAACTTGATCATGATTTCAATTATTTACAGATAGCAAAAATCATAAGTACATTCGTCCTATTAGCTAACAATTGAGTTTCTTCTGCAGTCAGTTTCTTACCATTCGTCAATGCGTCCAGTTAACCCATACAGCACTATATGAGATGACATCAACACTCCAGATATCATGTAGTTAATCATCGAAAGTTAATTAGAAGGTTGATGAAAAATAGTATATACCTTATAGATTCATATGTGATTCATATATTATTTGAGATATTGCTCCATTGCTCTTTTATGGTTAACAGTCGGAACCAAACTTGTTGCCCACCTAATTTGAGAACTATTCATCACATGGATGGCTTCTCTACTATACCCTATGTCCTGAAAATACAAAAGAATTAGGCCCAATATGTATTAGATAAATATGAGATAAGCAAATAAACCCTGATTGATTTGTCAACCTGGTAGTAAATTTAGGTAGCATCAATGATCATTTGGGAATAACTAAAAAAATATATCTATACCTCTATACCTATACTAATTGGACACTTTTCGGAGCTCTTACGTTAATCAGATTAATCTAACCATTGATTAACTAGATCATAAAATCATGACCGTAGATTAAATATTATAACCATGGACCTTTAATTAAAGCCCAACACGTGTCCGGGCCACCATTCAATCTATACGGGCTTCCTTCAAGGTCTACAAATTGTGCCCATATCGGTCTCAGCAGTCGGACTCGACTTTGCACACGACGAGATCACAACACGGCAGGCTACGTCGATCTACTTGACCTTGCAGCCGAGGAACTCCATCGACCAGACGCATTGGCGAGGAAGTGTTTTATCGATCACAGATTAATCTGACCATTGATTAACTAGATCATAAAATTATGACCGTAGATTAAATATTATAAGCATGGACCTTTAATTAAAGCCCAAAACGTGTCCGGGCCACCATTCAATCTATACGGGCTTCCTTCAAGGTCTACAAATTGTGCCCATATCGGTCTCAGCAGTCGGACTCGACGCTGCACACGACGAGATCACAACACGGCAGGCTACGTCGATCTACTTGACCCTGCAGCCGAGGAACTCCGTCGACCGGACGCATTGGCGAGGAAATGTTTTATCGATCCAAGATATTGATCTCTGCAGGTACGATGGCTATTTAAAATACTCAAGTGAGCAAGATCTGATTCAATCTTTTTAGGGTTTCATTCAGTTGTTTCTTACATGTTTCTCATCTAAACTAACTATAAATTAATTTAAGATTAGCACTTAATTAGAAACGCAAGCTACCTGGAAATCTGCAGATGATCTCAGCAGTTAATTAGCAGCTCAAGCTACCTGGAAATCTGTAGATGATGCGCGTGATCATGGACTTCTACATATGTGCTATACTTAATTTTCGTTTGTAATTGTGTGTCCATCTGAAACATAAATCTTGACTCGGGTATGCCGCGATTTGAGTATTTGACCCTATAATTAAATTCAGGTGTTTACATATTCATCCATAAATCCAAAGTTCTGTTTGAATCTAGGTTATCCATCGGTGACCATCGCATCTACAATCGACTGATGCATATAAGATGATTCATCATTACATCTACAATGCACAAAGGTATCCCGTTAATTAAACTCCCACATCATGTGATATGATATTCTTGATTTTTTTATTTTAATTGAAATAAAGAATTAATTATGTTGCTGATCTTTTTTATTGCTAATGAGAAAGTTCACTATAAATTAATAACAAGTTTTAAGTGGACATTTCCTTTTTCCAGATAAGTTAAACATACATCGCTAACAAATCTGCTCCATGCTTCATCCAAATACATTTGTTTCAGTGAATCTATGATTTCATCGAAATTTTAATTTAGCATACTAATTTAATGTATGATGTAAAAGTGCTAATTAAAATCAAGTATCTAAAAACAGGAGCATAGTACCAAATTAGGAGACCAACACAAGGACAATACAGGTAGTGATTTATTCCAAAATTCAAAATTATTAAAACATGGAAATGACTTATACTTCAGATGTGTGACGATATATATTACTTTCGAATTTTGTTATTTTCAAATCATGAAAGAACCATTGTTGATTCCAAAATTTGGAACAATCTTTAATCACGATAAAACAATAATTAAGACTTCAAACTGAGTGTAATATTTTTTAATTAGGAATTTTAAAACTAAATTACGAAGATGCTATATATATTTGAGACTACTCCACATGGAATACAACTTGATATTTAATAACTACGAATATAGGAATCATCAAATCGTGAAAAAGGTTAACTCCAAACCAAGTTTGTTTCTGTACATATTAATTCAAAATTGCTAAACTATTATATAGCAGAATGCTCACAAGAGACAGCAAAACGAGTATAAATCTATATTCCTAATACTAAATTTTGAAATTATGTAATTTCAAAAAAAACATAAAGTAATAGAAGAAATATTAGAATGGGTTATATAAGAAATTACTAATTATGTTTTTGGCCACTATAATTTAAATGAAAGTGTTTTGTATCAACTTCTTTTAAACAAAATATACTTATGAGTTTAACAACATAATTTATCATTATCCAGTGAAATTTTAATATTCTGTCATTCACAATAACCCTGCAATGCACGGGTTGACGGCTAGTGATGGTTAATTGAGAATGGATGAACTAGATGTAGCGTATTTAATGTCATGGAAAGTAGCTGAGGTGAAGAGTTATGACTAGATAAGAGCAAGTCACATAAGCCCCTAAGCACCTGCTATGCAAGGTGAGGTAGATGAAAGAAGAGAGGTGAGAGAGTAGGAGCCACCCACTATGTGTAAAGGGCAACCTTGACACAGACTGTGTAACCTAGCTACATGTTCAATACACCCTTGCTACAGCTTTATCTGAATTGTAACATCAAAGTTTAGATAGGGATGGTAAATGGGAATGAGAGGAGTATGGAAGAATACTGGAAAGTAAGGCTTCAAGAGTTGTCTGAAATGTTTTGGAAGAAGGCATTAGCCCAAATCAAAAAAGTTTCACTCTCTATACGATTCAGGCAAACTGAGAGAATGAGTTAATTCGTGTAAAGAGTCCTCCAAATTTGGACCAAAGGTGTTTTGTCTAAATAATTTTGTCATTCATTTGCTTCCAAATATGTGCCAAGCTACCAATAAAACTTTCTCTACAGGAGAAGATTTAGAACAAAACAGGTTAAAAAACAGGTTATAAACTCTCTACCAACAACATAAGGGAATGAAACGTAGAGGGAAAAACAGGTTAAAAATTAATAGTGGAATATAATTTTTCACATATGAAGAAACCCAAAATATTAGTGATGGAAAACAAGAGAAACTTTAAGAGTTTTCATGATAATGCAATCTTCTATGTTAATTTGGAACATAAAACTTCATCAAAAAAATTATTCGAATATACAAATTTTGCATGAATTTTATGTAAATAAAACTAATTATTATAAATTTATGGAAATTTATATATTTATGGAGAAGATTAAACCGGCTACAGGAGAAGATTTAGATAGAACAAGCGATAAACACTCATCTCATAAGCGAACGGAAGGTTTACGGGAAAACCTACAAAGGTATTTTGCACTCTCGCAGTGAAGGTGTATGATTTACTGTGCAAATCGATAAGGATGGACGAACTAGCTAGGTTAGAACTAGGTGCAATATTGATAAAACGATTTAATTGGCTAGATTGGATTGTGAGTAGATTGTTTCTCCTATTGAACCGGTCTTGTCCCTTATATAGAGTTGGTCCTGCCTCCTACAGATCCTACTCTATGTCCAACTTGGCATAGAAACCAACGGGTACCCAAAATATACCCTCCCTTCCGAGACCCGATAAAACAGACTCGGGATCGGAACCATCCAAGATTTAAACTTTGGCACTCTCACTATCTTCGGTGTTTGATCATTGCAAACTAGCCATCCAAGACAACGTCATCATCATTTGCATCGGATCGAGCGACCAACTGAGCACTTGGGTTCATTGATGACTCAACAAGGCTGAGTCATGTATTGGCAATGGGAAATTATATATTTTCTTTGCAAAGGTTGAACTATCTCAAAAGTCAACTTTCCTGTAATTCAATTCAAGTAATTGTGGTTTTGAAGTAGATATCCAATCAAATAATTAAAAATTTCCCAAATTCACATCCAAAAGGTCCCTAAATTCACTTTACCTGTTATAATTCTTCAAATGGGGAATAGGAAATTCACAAATGTTTTCCCAAAATAGATGCCATTGTCACCGGAGTCCCCAAATTCACATTGAAACAATACCTAAATATGGCACTCACCAGCAACCCTAGCTCACGCACCATCATGGATGAGGCGACCTAGGATCTGCTGACGTTGTCGACGTCGTCGCTGATCAACAAGCATCGCCACCAACCTCCTCTGCAACTCGCATCCACTGGAGCCAGCATGCTTGACGCCCCTGAGCTGTTGTTGCCAATGTTGTGCGCGCCGCAGCACTTGCCACTTCTAGTTCCATCCCTCGCTGCGGTGGTCAATGTCACGCGAGCCCTTGGATCGCAGTTGTTGATCTCCTCAGTCGTCTCCACTGCCTAAGTTGTTACTCCCAACGACTGTGCCACAAAATCCACTGTTGACACCACCATGGAGAAACAACACTTTAATCATGATTTTCATTAGGCAGTGCTTCTAGAGGGTCGCTTGTAAAAAAATAGCAATATTTTTGCAAGTGGTTCTATTAAGAAAATCACATGTAAAAATCTATTTTCACATATGGTTGGTGATTGGGAACCATGCATTTTCACAAACAACTTGGCATTTTTACTGGGAGTAAAATTTTTACGCAGGCTGACATGGATAGATCTCATACGTCTATTTTTGATCCTATGGTACTCTTCAAGTTTGTATTACATATATTGTTGTGCTACATATTTTTCCATCTTCTCATGTCTACCTTGCTCGATCTATCTACACTAGATAATGCTACAGTACACTATTTCTTCCGCAGTGACACACCAAACAGACTCTGGGTTATAGAAAGAAAAATTGGCCGAGGTGCACCTTTTGACAATGGAAAAAAATGACTGATGTATGTAATGTTTTTATATATAATTCTCAATATTATTACAGAAAACTAACTTCTCAATCAAGAGACATCTCCGTCTTGGTTCATCCCTTGACCACCATGCCCATGGCCAGGTAGAGATCTACGGCCACCTCCACTACTACCCCCAGCACCACCGCTGCCATGGCCGCGTCCAGAGAGGCCTCCACCACGGCCGCCACCACCTCCACGATGGCTGCCTCCTGCTCCACCACCACGACCGCCCCCAGCACTGCCTCCACCATGGCCAGCCCCTCCGCACCCACCACCAGGGGCACCAATACCACCACTTTGACCACCACCAGGGATACCGCCACCACCGTGACCATGGCCAGCGAGTCTGCCACCGCCACCACCATGACCCCCGCGGTCGTGGCCTCCACCTCTACCAATAATGTTAATATCATCTTTATCAGAGCCACTGACTTTAGCACTGGCAAGACCTTGGCTATCTGCAAGTGGGCAGCAGCATTGTGTTTCGTGTGTAAAGGTGCAATAGGAACGTTCCGGAATCTGTGTAAAATCACGGCATTTGTCGCTGCACTTTTGGGTGAAGCAGTTGACTCTTTGAAACAGTGTAGCCTGCTCTCTGTTATACAGTAAAGAGCAATGCAGTTAGTAGTACTCACTGCAACAAGGATGATTCATATGTAGTGGAGGAAATTAGTGCTGCAATATGAAGGATCACCTAGGCATATATATATCACAAGAAAATGACCTTCAAACATATCTGATATTAGGTTGTTTTTTCCTTCTACATTTGCTGAGAATCAGGGGAAATTCTTAACTAATAAGCAAGAACTTCTGAAACTCAAAATATATACTGTTTCATACAGAAATATTTGGTTGTCCGTATATGTGCAATTTTTTGTTTGAAATATGAAACAAAACTATCAAAATTTGTCAGCATTCCCAGAATTCATAGTTCAAACACGTTTTATCAAAATATGTAGTGTTAAAAAATATGCCCACAATTATCGAAAAAGAATGCTGAGATTCAACTCTTCTGTTCCATTTCATGAGTCAAATAAGGATAAATAATTGTGTGCAAATACTAGTGCTTACCTGCATGACAGGTTGAGAAGATGGCAAACATTGCCACAAGCGCCATAATTACGATAGCCATGGGGTATGAACCCCTCATACCAGTATTAACAGGTTGCATCTTAATGAGGACCAATTCTTTCTATCAACTCTTTCGATGTGTTATTTTGGCATCGCAATAGCACCATTTATATAGTAACAGGACCTAATCTTTCAATATGTATTCCTGCATTTATTGTTGTCCTAGAGATATCATATCTCTCAATACATGTTGTAAGCTATCGTCACTAGTACAGATCCTTCTATCTGTGACAGGCTCTAATACACCAAGAAATAGCGGACCGTCACAAGGAAGTCATCTCAATCGGGCCGAAAAGTTCCCGATTGAGATATGGTCGCACAGACATATTAGATGGGCATAAAACCTAAGCCCGTCACGGATGACACCTATAAGTGACGGGCCGTAGTTTAGGCCCGATTGAGATAACATTCCATATCTCAAACGGGCCTAAAGTTGCGGCCCGTCACAGATGACCATCATCTGTGACAGGCACCAACTTTAGGCCCGATTGAGATAACATTCCATATCTCAAACGGGCCTCAAGTTGTGGCCCATCACGGATGACCATCATCCGTGACGTGCATCAACTTGAGGCCCGTTTGAGATAACAACTAGGCCCGTCACAGATGACTCATCAGTGACGGGCTATACACTTAATCTCTATTGGGCATTAACTAATGCCCGTCACCGATGACTATTTTTTCATTTTTCATATGAAATGTTTATATTTGTAAGTTGAACTATAGCAAAATAATTAAGTGCAGTATAATAATTTATTTTATGAGTCAAAATAATTTTACGAGTAATAAATGATTTCAAATGGAAAAAATGTCAACAACAAAGTTGTATAACTTATCAAGATTTACAACTTTTAGTTTGGTCATTTTTCTATATAACATTTTTTTGAACAGTTTTAATTTGAATTTGAAAATATGACAACTTCAAACAATATTTTCAAGTACTAAATGATTTCAATTGAAAAAGTCATCAACAACAAAGTTGAATAACTCATCAAGATCTAAAACTTTTATTTTTGTTATTTCTTCATTTGACAAAATGTTAGTAATAGTATTCACAACTTTTACATATATGTGTTATAATTTATAAACCAGATAAGAGATTTGTCAATTTTGTAAATAATGCTACTATCACTTTCTCGTATAAAGAAATGACCAAAATAAAAGTTTTAGATCATGATGAGTTATTCAACTTTGTTGTTGATGACTTTTTCAGTTGATATTATTTAGTATTTGAAAATGTTGTTTGAAGTTGTCATATTTTCAAATTCAAATTCAAACGGTTCAAAAAATGTTATATAGAAAAATAACCAAAATAAAACTTTATTGTTGATGACTTTTTCAATTGAAGTCGTTCACTGATCTAAAATTCTATTTGAACTTTTCAAACACTGAATTTCAAATTTCAAATTGTTTAAATAGTCATATGGAGAAATGACCAAAATAAAAATTTTGTACCTCAATGAGTTCTGCAACTTTGATTTTGGTGACTTTTCCATTTGAAATCATTTAATAACCCCATTTTGACATCCTGGCCTAGGGCTTAATAAGATTAATAGAATACTCATATCAACAAGTTACAACTACTTTTCCAGAAGCCAATCTCCAAAGAACTTTGATGTTAAGCGTGTTTGGCATGGAACAATTTCGGGATGGGTGACCGACCGGGAAGTTTGAATTTCCCGGGGGTGGGTGCACACGAGTGAGGACAAAAAAAGACTGGCCTAGTAGGTGACGGAGTAGGTGACGGGCTATAGTTTGATTGGTCGTCTGGGTCAAAGCTATCGGTGACGGGCTTTAATTAGGGCCCGATTGAGATAGATTCAACTGTGACGGGCTATAGTTTGATTGGTCATCTGGGTCAAAGCTATCGGTGACGGGCTTTAATTAGGGCCCGATTGAGATAGATTCATCTGTGATGGGCTATAGTTTGATTGGTCGTCTGGGTCAAAGCTATCGGTGACGGGCTTTAATTAGGGCCCGATTGAGATAGATTCATCTGTGATGGCCGTTTGCCCGATTGAGATAACTCTTCACATCTGTGACTTCTAGCCTGTGACGGACGCCATGCCCGATTGAGATGGGGTTTACCGCCCGATTGAGATGATGGTATCCCTTCTAGTGCGTGTTTGGATTCAAATTAATGACATCATTTTTAAAAACTTCGTGTATTCTTCATTTATTTCTTCGGGTACCTTTTATAGATACATTTGCTCCCATAACTGTTATATGTATTGCCTTTCATTTCTCAGAGACAGGGATATATTGATTTTTGTTTATCTGGACATTCAGATATCAAGAAGATGGGTCATGTTTGGTTGAGGGGTAACTGGTGATGGAACATCCAAAGATGATTGGTTGTTACCACTTACCACCACATCTTGATCTTTGGGATTCTCATCAGGTTACTTATCAACATGTTGACCTATGACAATATTCTTACCCTGTCCTGGCTGGTTTCAATGCCTCCGACCTCATTCTTAGACCTTGTTCCAAAAAGACCTTGAAGGGCAGAGGGCTCATGAGATCTATCCTGATATATGAATCTAGGTGGTCTGACACGGATTGGACATGTATGGATGGAGTCCTTTAATATTATATTGGGACTATGATATCTCCAATTTGGAGGGATACGATCTTTGGTCTGTTTGTTTCTCCTGATTCAATGTTGTCAATAGAAAACCTCATCAGAGAAGTTGCATCTGGATATCATGTCTTTAAGAACCCTTTGAATACTCCGTGAGCCCCTACCTGACACACCAATTGTTGACTACGATAAACATGTATATAGGGTATTGGCCAAGAGTGCTCATGAGAACATAACAGTATTGTAGGAGACTAGGATTTGTTTTCTGGTTTAGGGTCCCTAATGGATATTAACACTACATCTGCTTTATATGTTTAATATGTCAAGAAATACAAGGTATAAAGTATCAAAGGAATACTGATCTAACCTATGTGATATGTTGGCAAGATTCTAAACCGAGGATATTGCCGATGTGGTCAAGGCAGCTGGTCTTCACGATAACCGAAACATTGACTTGTTGGAATTGTGAATTTCTCGAAAAGGTTTACCCCTCCCGTCTTGGGTGGCCCCTTGTCTTTGTAGAACTTGAAGGAAATGTTAGGAGACAATCCGAGAAGTCATGATTGTCCTCAACTCGGAATATGTAGTTGAATCCTTTTTGGTGAGTCATCCGTTACCTGCTCAAGATTCTTCACATATTTGAGAATCTATTTCCGTATATGCATGGTTTGTTGTATTCTTGCTGAGATAGATATACATATCTAGGGCACCTTGTATTTTGTACACCAAGACTATCTGTCTAACTACCTATCTCTTCTTTCCAAAGGTGAGTGCCAGTAACATCTACGTGTCAACTTTCCAATCTTCTAGCACTAAATTTGCAACTACTTTACTCATCAAATACCATAGTACTGTTGTTGTTTCGTCCATGTTGGGTTGTTAGAGTTCTTTCTTCGGTTTACTATTAAATACAACTAAAACCATCAAAGGGAACTAAAAATTCTGTTATCCTTTTCTAAACATTTTATTTGAGCCCAGTAGAGGGTTAGACATGGGCATTAGATTGGCAGATCTTGATGACGGCAGTAGGCTGCTGACAGTATGACTTTTTTTCTCTAACAAATTGAAACTATGTTATTTTTCCGTGCTTCATATGATATTTATAGTCTGTTTATGATATTACTACTTACTCTAGTAAAATATTGTACTGTTTTCAAACTTACTATTAGTACTTCAAAACATGTGTGGACCTCTGATGAGGCCAACATGCTATTTATCTGTTCTACATGGTCAACTCTCTGATACTATTTTAAAGTTCATATGGCCAACTACCACCATTGCACCCATATCCGGAGGTGATCTATATATATACCCCAAGTGCTCACAAGGTTCTTTGTTCCCTTCCTATCAGCCATACAACATAAATCAACATGCGGTTTTCGGTGATCGAAATTGTAATAGGGATGGAGGGCATAAGGAAATAAACTATAGCCGCATTGATTTATTATACTGCAAAAACCTCTGTTGGCCAAAAGGAACTCAGTTTCATTCCTTCCTTATCACAGCTGCCATGCATGGATCGCACAATCCGGCCGATCACATTCTCTAGCTTCCATGTCACCACACCATGTCCTAAATGTAGCGGCAGTCCATCTGTCGTCAAAGGTCCCTACAGCGTCACACCATCAGTGGGTAGAGACCTTTCCCGGCAGATTGTGTTTGTAGCTGAAAACACTCAGCCAGCGAAGGGCTTTCACGACAGACATACCGTTTACCGACATATTGTCTGACTATGATATCTAGAGCTTTACCAATAGATAATCCTTGTCCGACAGGCAGACCTTAACCCACAGATGAATCTTTCATGACAGATGATATGTGGAGAAATAGTACTTCTGCTGACACCCTTCCAAAACAGGATCAATTTCCATTAATAATTTCATCTGTCGGTAGCAATTCACTGCAGATTTCAGCAAGTAGTAAATTACTCCGAATTTCAATACATTCATCAAACACATACAAAGAGAATTCATAAAGGCATATTCCAAAACCTCACATCTAATCTAAACAATATAAATCGACCAAAAGATCACAATGCCACATGATGTGACTTGGTCACAAGGATCAAGAAATTCACTACAAAAGGCACAACCCTATGAAGTGCGTAAAATCTAATTCGAGAGCCCTCTCGTTTTAGCGCTATCGTGCGACGCTGGCAGAGCCATCCGATCGCTCGCGTCATCATGGAGTCCATCTGCGTGGGCATTTCTGAATAAGAATCGAGATGAAACCACTCCAACCACACGCACACGTAATTCCTGTTTGAGAGAGAGAGAGTCACAAAGAGAAAGGCTACAGTTTCTCCCCCATGTTAATTTTCTCTTCAAACAAAGTTTTTCTCTCAAATTACTTATCCTATCTATAATCCGATTACACCATTATATTCGTTACAATTAAATCTTCACAACAAGATCTTACATGATTATGTTACGATGAAAAAATATTTATATTTGTAAATTACTTTTATTATATATTTAAGTTACT